AGGAATTTGTTTTGAGCATCTTTTGAGCTCCATTTATTTATTTATTTATTTTTCTAGATGATCTTAGAGATGAATGAATATGATTTGAGAGCTTTGGGGTTAAACAAATCCCCCTAACTTGGTGTTTGGCCTATGGGTTGACATATGCAATATTGGCCAATTGGTATGGAAGGTAGTGAAGAGCTATTCGGCCGAGTTACTCGGCCTTGCCCTGTGGGAGAGGCGAGTTGGGTCGGGCAACTCTCCACTCACCAAAAACAAAATTGTAAAAAAATGTAAAAAACAAAATATGTAGAAAGATATTCTTAGATGGATTTGATGGTTTTTAAAATGATATGGAAACTTTCTTATCACATAATCCTATTTTTCCCTTTTTTTTTTTTTGAAATGTTCATGGTATAAATCAGTTTTTCAGTAGTCTATATTTTACATATATTTTTTAATTTTCTATAGTTTTTTAATTTTATCTATTAATTCATTTAATTTTTGGTATTTTTAACTATTTTAACAAATTTTTACCTTTTTTAATATTTTTTACATTTTTTCCATGGTATATATTACTCGGCCAAGTCCACGAGTAACACGCCTTTGGCCTGTGGCAAGCTCCTGGGCTGAGACGATTCTGAAAACATTGATGGAAAGTTTTCCGTTTGTATTTATTTCATCGATGCATAGGTTGAGATTTGGATGATTTTATCTCTGGAATGAAATTTTGGATGTGTGGAGTTTGAAAGGAAGTCCTAAACTGGAATGGCAATTTGGTAACCTAGTTTTTCACCCCAGAACCTCATGTCTGTGACTCACTTGTATTTAGTACTAGTATACATATGTATATGGTCATAATCCAATTATTGAAATGCGCTATTATGCAATGACAAAGTAAAATAGTTTTGAGATTGTTCTTTCAGGGTATGAGGATAAATTTATGGAATTGAATACTTCTCAAACAGAAAGCAAGCCCATTTCTAAAAATCCTTTGTTATATTATCTTTTTCTTATTGCAGTTTTATGCCTTTCTACTTCCATGCCTTAGATTCAATTTTCCTTCTCTTTGTTTGCGAAGATTGTTTCTTTCACTGCTTTTTATGTTTGTGCAGTCCACTTACTGGCAACTAGTCTCTACAATAGCCAATTCTTGGTTTTGTAAGCCTTCTCAAAAGAATACCTCTTGCGGCTTCTTATAATCAGACTGATTGTGATATCAAACCCTAGAATTAACAAAGAACTGGTTCCTCATGTCACTAAATCGGCTGTCAGATCATGATTCCTAAGTTTTCTTCCTTCTATTTGATGCTATTGCAGATTGTCGCAGAATGTGCTCTTCAGTTTCACGCTGGGGATCCATTAACTGGAATCGAGATTGTGAACTAAATGAAGACGTTCGAAAGGCTTTTCCATATCTATTCTTTTGTCTATTATATAGATTGTGGGGGATATTTATGTGTATTTTTATTTTCTATTATGCTGAGTGGAATGAAAATGTCTCTTGTTCTCTCTATTTTTTCTTTCCTCCCTTCTTTTGTGGGTTCAGTTTGATTTGTTCCATATTTTCCCCGTCTTGTTGGTTGGATGAGCTGAAGATTTTGAGCTTAAAACCAAATGGGTATGACCATGATCCGAAGGACCGTGTATAAGGTCTTTGGCTCAAGTTTCATTACCTACTCCAGGTTTTTTTACAAGTATTTTATTGAATTATTCTTTTCCATGTTCAGGCGATAAGAGAAACATTGGTTGACTGCAAATTACAGCGGAGAAGAAAAATAGAATGAAAAACAGCGTAAAATAGGCCAGCTAGTATATGATCTCCCTTACTTGTGAGTATGAGCACAAGGTGTGCTTCCTTTCCTCAATCGTCAACTGTGGCTATAAATTTGTTGGTGTCGCTTTATTCTCATAGAAATTTGATGGCTCAAAAGTACCTTGATCCTGTCAATAGATTGTTTCCTCTTCATTTGTGATTCAAGAATTTCTCATTGTGGGGTTCTCACTCAAGTTTTCTCCTTCGAAGTGTTTAGCCCAAAGGTTCACAGACAAGAATGTTTGGATGGTCTTGGAACACCAATGTTTGGTTGGATTGGTGGTTAACCCATTTGCTTCTGGATCTTGGCAGATCAAAATTTGCCTTCACGCACGCTCTCCGTGTCCCTCTCTATGGAAGGGAACTAGCAACGGCCTGGATTATGAGACCTAGACCCGAAGTTATCGGACCTTGGATCCAGATCCAATTGGACTCAAAAATAAAAAATAAAAATATTTAAATCTGTACATATATTATTTAAAGGATGTTATTTTTATAAGATTGCAACTTTAAACAATTCAATTATGGTGCACCTCCAAATTTTATCATAACATGCAATTTTGGTATAAAAAAGTCTTAGGATTATCTGAAAATCTATTTTAATATTTAATTATAAAATTGTAAACTCCAAAAAGAATTAAAATTAAGTAGATCTATAAATATATGAAAATCTTGAAAATGAATGATCTAAGATAATATGGTACAAGATGTACTATTTATAGGACTCAAATTAAATTTTTTTTTTTTGCCATATTCATGTATCTCGATATGATCAATGAGAGGTTTTTCAACATTAAAAGAACCTTTTCACATGAATTTTTGAGGTGCATCTTTAATTCTATATTTTAAGGTTGCAACCTTATAAATTTTTTTAATATTTAAATATTATAATTAAAATATATAATTATATTTATTTAATTAAATATTAATACAATATTATATATTAAATATTATTTGAATAATGACAGTATTTAGTCGGGGTCCGATTCAGGTCCAGTATTTGGACACTGTCACACATGTTGGGTCCAATTTTTGGGCCCAAGTCGAGTCCGGTCGTTGGGTCCGAGGGGGGGCTAGGTCCATTGCCACCCTGAAATTAGAGAACCAAAATAAAATGAAGGGCCTCATTTCCAACCAAGATGCAAATAGTCAGGAGAACCACTGCTCTGTTTGTCCAACTCT